CAGTCTCTGCAAAATTTCCAACCAATAACACTGAAATGCATAACTAAAATTAAAGGTTAAAAATATGACTAACAGCTTAGCATTAGGTTTGTTTTTAGCTTTTTCTCATTAATTGATTGCATCAGTCTGGTGATGGTTTATCTCGTGTGATAACATTGTTTTCTCAGTTTCCATTTTTTTAATGTGTTGAGTTCAGAAGTGCATAATCTATTTTCTGTGGTTGAACTTTCAACAGTAGAATGCAGCCAAGGACTTTGTTTAGTGTTACAGGATCTTCCAAATCCACTTCTAGGTTTGTCCTTTAAACCAGTAGGGCACAGGGACTTGAGTAAGAAATGAGTATGTCCTTAGGAAAACCTGGGGAATCCAGGACTACAATTTTTGTTTTTCTTGCAGCTAAAGACTGGTTCTGTGTTTGCGGGCATAGAAGCTCATATGTCCTGCCCCATCAATATCAAGTCAAGATACCTTTGTTTGAAAAAGTTAATGTTGGTAATGTTGATTAATATTTGACCCTTTGATCCTCCATGCCTACATTTTACATAAGGTAATAGATTAGTCACTAGACAGTCTGGTCATAGGTGGGAAGAGGTAAAAAAGCACAAAATTCAACAGGTTTGATTGGACCATGGCTCAGAAAGGTCATGCTATCACTGCTAAGCAACACCCAAAGCTAAACCATGAATATGTCATTTATGTCATATAAGGGTAAATCAAAATAGGGTGACCCTTTACAGACAGAGAGATATTTGGTAAATGACAATAATGTAATCTTTTTATTGGGACAGGACAGGAATAATGACATCTTTAAATCTAAGCATATTCGCATAGATGCGATTCTAAAGCACAGGCAGCATCAGATTTTTTCTGTTACTTTGCAGAGGTAGATTCTCTTTGGCTTTAAGGTAAGATGTTTATGGCTGTTTATGGAAAACCTGTGCCTCCATTGCCTGTGTAGGGCAAGTAGCATTGCTATTTCCTATTATGGGACATATATTTATGCAACTGACCAGCTCATAGTAATAATCTCTCATTGAAGGTTTATCACAAAGAGTAACTGGTCCAGCAGCGCTTGACTGCAGCGCCCCCTGTTGGTCAGAGGACTATCCCACACAATAAAGTTACGTGCCCTAATTGGAGATTGACCCGTAAGGCTTTAATAAGTAGAGATCAAGCTGGGACTGGCAATCTGGCAAATACCAGATGGGCCGGCCCACCTAGTGGGCCACAAGGCCACCAGCAGTGTGGGAAAAAAATTGCTGAAAAACAAATAAAAAAATTAATGCACAAAAATTAGATAAATAAAATAAATTATAAATTATACACACACACACATTTAAAGAAATAATGCGGCACAATAATCGTTTTATCTCGATTATCTTGTTTTCATAATCGTTGGAAGTCAAATCGTAACTGAAAATAAAATTCAATTAATCACCTAGGCCTACTGTTTAAATAATAAATAATTAAATAATAAATAATGTTAACCTGTACAACAGCAGCGCTGTTGTATCTATTGCTTAGCCTATGTTATAAATAGCCTGATATTGCGGTGCGTATGTTGGGGAAAAATGGGGCCGGTCCAGACGAAAATTGCCAGGGCCGAATTTTGTTCCCAGTCCGACCCTGGTAGAGGTTGTCTTGATCAAAACAGACTGCGCCATGCCACCTGTTTTCCTAATCAATCAATCAAAAAAAAAAAAGCATCGTTAATCTTTGACTGGGGGTTAACCATGTGCTTTCTGGAGACACCCTCACACAGAACATGCACACCCACGCACGCACAAATGTTTTCTAATAGCAGCATGTGAAAGAAGACATATTACAGTTTTTATACATCAATGTCTTTAAATCAGGACATGAAATTACCATGTTTTTATCACGTTGTCCCACCATAAAAATCCAACGCCATCAAAAAGCCACTTGATGCGTTTGAAAAAAAAAAAAAAAAACTCGGAACTATTCACTGAGAGAAGACAATGAGTGATGCATTTTGTGCCGAGAGGACAAACAGGGAACATTTAATGTGAGTGGGTGAAGTAAAAGTGACAATATTTTATTAGCGAGTCTTTTATGCCTGTTGAAAGCTTCACCTGTACTGAACCGTATTAGCATGAAGACAAAAGACATCGACGCACAGGCAAGGATAAGATACGTATTGGCAAAGAGTGCCGCTCCAGTCTCCACAGTCGCTAATTCCATTGTGTTTGTCAAATTAGACAAAAATAATAAATAGCTGACTTCCTTAAGAATGTGGAGTAATCACTGTGGTCTTGTCTAAAGAAGCACACTCCTGTTCTCGCTTCTCAGAGCTGCCATTCCGTGGAGAGGTGACGAGCTTTATCGGGACCGTGCAGGGAACACAGCAGCCTGCTAACATTATCTGGCTAATTGCTTTCACAAGAAAACGCTTTACCTCTGTGTTGCAGCTGGGGGTGGGGCTCTGCGCGTTTAACACAACAAACGCAACGGATTAGTGTTCGTTCACTGTTTAGGAAACAGCTGCAGAGAAAAGCATCGTTCAGGCTTCGTCTGAAAGACAACAGCAAGAGGAAAACAAATCGGCAGCAACATGGTGATAATGCCCCCACCGACATATCGAGTCGCCAGTTCTCATAAAGGGTGATTCATTTTTAAAACCTTCACAAAATAGTTGCTTTATGTGCGGTTTGAGTGAAGATTCTTGCCTTGCCGTGACCAGATTAATTAAAAATGGCTTTGCCGGAGAAAATCCATTGGAATGCTATTATAAACCACTTTAAACCACATAGCATACATTACTTTGCCAAAAGTCATTCATCTCCCTGGGAGCTTTTATTTGTATTTTACATTATTAATTCATAATGTTGTGAATGACCCACCACTATGAGATGGATCCAGTCCTGATCTACTGCATGTTGTCTGTACCCTTGAATTACTGCAACTGAAGAAAGTTTTCCTCTTCTGCTTGATATAGTGATAATGATTGTGTTGGTGGTGTACTTTGCTAGGCATATGGCTTTGCCTTGCATGGGAATGTATATGGGAACTACATTATTGACATTATTAACCTCCAATCTACAATATTTTACCCCCTGTTTGGAATAGTTTGACACTCATGACTGTCTCAGTCAAGCCCTCACTTAACATGCACATAACAATGGTGCTTTAATAATAGCATGTATTTTACAGAATCATGTACCACTTTTAAATGCTTAATATTCATAGTGTTTGTTGTCCTCCTTCAGTGGTAGAGCTGCCAGTCATGCCAATCAGGTCTTTATCATAGCACATTCTAGTTTTCCAGTTGTTTGGACTGCCTTAACTGTCTGATCTGATTTCATGCAGAAAACAAAACTAAATTACACTCAAATTATCATTCTTTCCACGTTTTTGCAGTTAGACAGCTTACTGTATATTCAATATCCTGTGAAAACATAAATTTTGATGTTTTATTAATGATGCTCACACCAAAAATATTCAAATTATTTTAATATTCCAGTACTCTTCTAATGAGACTTTCTATCAAAGCAATGCTGACACCCAGGTGTACTCACACACACACACAAACACAAGCATGCAAACATACTTCCTCCCTGAGACTGAAAAGCCAGATATGGAAAGTAACAGGACAACTTTAGAGCTTCAGAATCTGTTCCATTCAGTGCATAAAACACAGTGTGCCATAAGCATTCCTTTGAGCCCATAAATGTCTACTGACAATCCAGTTTCTTATTCTACACATCTTTATATGTGGCGCATGACGCTCGGCACTGGGCTAAATATAGACACTCCCGATGAATGTTGAGGTCGTGCTGCTTCAAGAGCAACCATCCTACAATGAACACATTGGAGCTGCAGCTGAGAACCTGGGCAATAACATTTGCTCTGTGGCCATCGCTGGCCCGAAAAAGGAGTTTTTGCCACAACAGAATTTGGCGGGAAATGGTAGCTTAGCTGTGTACTGGGAAGACATGGGTAAACACATCAGAAGACATGGGTAAAGCTTCACACTTGTTGTGCATTAGGATTGTCAGCATGTGTTCTATGGGATCTAATAAGACTATTTGCACAGTGCACTGGTAGTCGTATTTTATTTATTGAATAGCTTTGATGGCACCCCCACAGCTGCCCCCTTTCATATTATGGGCAACTACAACTACAAGAGAGCCCACTCTGAAATTCTCTGTGCTCCATGAAATCATCTCTGAAGGATGTCAACATCAGCATTTTAATAAAACCAAAGGTTATTTGACCAATTTAAATTAATTTTTAATATTATTTAAATATTAATGATCTTTTTTTATTTGAAAATGTAGTATATCTACAATCTCAACAAACCTCAAGTGTATCAGGGCACACTAACACACCAAGAGCTTATACCAAGAAAAATATACCAAGATCACAGCTCCATCTTGTGTAGATTGAAAACTATTTTAAATATTGTAAAGGTTGCCTTGGTAGGCTCAAAAATACAAAAAATAATCACTGTGATTAAACACTAAAAACTAGTTTATAATGTAGGTGATGTTCAACTGTCCACTTTATGAATGCATGAGTCAATCCCTAAGAAAATCTGAGAGGATCGATCCACAGCTGTTCCCATTTCACACAGAATGACCCAGAATGACTGTTCTTTGCATGGTAAGAGACACTGTGGACAGAGGTAAGGGTGGTTTTGTTAATAATGCTACTTGCTACCTTCAGCTAACATTCAAACCCCCTTAATGTCACATTATCCTGAAATCCATTTGCCATGCCTCATAAACTTCTGTGCCATGGAACCTGTGTGACCAGGATGGGAATGCCAACCACAGGACATAGCACTGTTGTGTTGTGACACACTTTAGCTCACTGAGCAAAAGACCCAGGTCTGTTGCCAAGGAAACCAATTTTGCTCTTGTTCTGACTCTAGAGGATGGCATCAACTGTCGTGCACTGCTGACAAATATAAATGCACTCAACGCTCTTAACATTGTCTATTGAAGCATATCAGGTTATCACAATTTAACTGATGATGGGCCACAGTGTGGTGTAGTGGTAATGCTTTGGGCTTATAACCAAAAGGTTGCTGGTTTGATTCTCTTCTAGGGCATTGCTGTTGTTCCCTTGGGCAAGGTACTTAACCCCACTTTGTCTTAGTAAATATTCAGCTGTATAAATGGATAATATGTGAAACTGTAGGCTATGCCACCCTGTATAAGAGTGTCAGCTAAAAGACAATAATGTAATGCAATGCTATTTATACATTAAGTAGCAATATCAATTGCCAGTTGTAGTCTTTGAGATTTGTGTATCCCACTTCATTCCAAAAGCCCAGATTCAATTTTACTAAAATGCTCTTTGTCGTTCAATTTGCAATCATGGTTCAATTTCTCCCCCCTGTGACATTTTGACTGCGAATCACTGATTGCTTTGACTGTCAAGTGCCAGCAATTTGCACCCACATTACACTTACAGCACTTATCAATTTGCTTCACCCAGAGGTGATATTGTAATTTTCGTATTCATTCATAGAGTTGAATATTTACTGAGGTAATTGATATAAAGTACTCTGCTCAGCGGTCCCACCTTGAATTTAAAACATGTGTCTTTCTGATAATAGAAAGCCATCAGCTGCATAGGCATCATGCCACACTGCTGCCAATGCCAGCTGCATCTTCTGTTCACTGCTGTAGGCAGAACTGTGTTTAAGCATAGCATTGCAGTGCAAGGGCTGCTAAAGCCAGTTGAAGTTCTCATTCAGTTAAGCAGAAGAAAATAAAGGTGCTATTACACTAACTGCTCACGTTCACACCGTTTCGAGCATAGCTGTGAAGGAGGGTCTTCACCTATCTCCTAAAATTGCCAAAATTAATTGTTTGCAATGTGTGATGTATTGGAAACTGTCAAACGTTTGTATGAGGATTGGTAATTGTCTATCCATTTACCACATTAACAATGGAAAGATCTGTATTTCATGACTGTCTTTGCAAACAACTTGTAATTGTGATTGTGATTGTCTATACTGGCCAGGTATTGGTGAACAAGCCCCGCCTGCCTTAATCTGCAGCATTTAAAACAGGTGTGTGCAGCTGCTAGAGGAGCAGTTAACTGTGGGTCTAGCAAGGCTGGCTCCTGTGTTTTGTGTTTTAAAAGTAAATGATAATTTTTTAACTTTTTGTCATTCTGTTTGTTTAGTGTGTGGCGCCTTGGTCAGCACTGTTACAACGGCATGTTGAATTGCAGAACAGAGCATCTCTGTCAAAGGGATCTATGCAAATGCTCCCTTTATTGAAGTATCAAAGTCTCGCTGTAAAGCAATCTGACTGAGAATTAAAAAAGACACACAGCATTGTTATGCAAGATCGATGTCATTAATGCAATGGCACGACCGACAGGGCAGCAGAACGTATTCAATCGTGAATCATCTCTTTAGCTTGCATTACTGTGTCGTGTGCCCCTGTCAGGCAAAAAGTCTACGTTAAACAAGGTGCTACTGCTTACTATAAAGAGACTGTCATATTAACACGAGTAAACCACAGGAATGGTGGCTCAGATAGGCTGCGTTCTGATGAGCAGATGAGCTCCTTGTTTTAATTCCATCCAGCTCTTAGTTTCAATGGGCTGCAATTCTCAGATGATGAGAGATGCACACTGGTATCTGTCACATGTAACACCATAGACGTCAGGAATCTGTGAGCAAGGATGTGCTTAAACAAGACCAGTGGGATAAGAAATGAAAGGGTCATGGGCGTGTTCAGGAGTGAAGTCTCGTATGACATGCAAATGTTTGCAAACACATTCATGTCCAGTGCCATGTGAACACATATATGGTCATTAGTGCAGCTTCTGAGCTGTGCTGTGCATAGTTTGGAGAAACTGGCTACTGTTCCTTGTTAACAGCTGGAGTGCACTCTTAAGCTGGCAATATCATAAGATGATCGGGTCGAGATCAAAGTCCTACGAAGCTTAATAAGTACAATCTACGCTTCCACATTTGCTTTTTTGCAAACGCCTTTTTAATTGGATGAAATTGAGTTAAAAGTGCATTTTCAAAAGATTTGTAAGAACAGAGAAATTGGTTGAGCTTGGATCATTATGGGGCAATTAGTTGTGGAATACTGTAGCTGAAAATGGAGCTCTGATTATAGGTTCCACGCACCACCAGCAATTTTTGTATGCAATTATTGCAACATTGAGTGAAAATGATACAATGGGTCCAGGGCCAGTGACATCATTTTTGGCCATAATGTACATCTGCGCATCTGCAAAGAACCACAATGTAAATTAGACTAGGTGCTTTCTTTTATCCTCTGCTATACACATATATATATATGTATATATATGTATTTTTTTTTGTCATTATAAAATCAGCTCAAATATGTGTGAATGGAAAGGCCTTGCTTCTCTATCAAAGTGGTGCTGGCTGCAGCAAGATAAAAATTCAATCAAAAAACAAAGGAGGCAAATTATCTGAGCAAAACTCTCCATGGCTGATTCTGACAGGCAAACCACACACTCAAAAAACCCTCCATTGCAAAAATGTATTTTTCATCTTTGAGTGCGCAGGTTGCATGTTGAAGTAAGCCACGGAGAGTGTTTTGCTCAGACAAATGGTAATTGTTGTTTTTTTAATGAAATACTTTGATCAAAGAGTTTACTTTTACTTTTGCAAAGTATGACTTTGATACCAGTGAGCTTTGATGGTGCAGCCCTGTGGGACACCCCTGCAGGATGACACTGGGGGTGGGAGGGAAATGAACATTAGGGTTTGCCTTTAATGTGAGTCTCACTTCTAGAAGTCACGACAGTAAGTATGATCTCGTCTTATTTGATCATGACAGCGGGGGGTTGTTTGAAACAGCAGGATATGTAAGAGGTAAGCGCTGCTCCTCTCAGACGAAGACCAGAGTCGTATAAAGGCACAGGCACAGTTCTCAAGACAAGAGTAAGAAGCAAAGTTGATGCTTGGCTTTTGATTGTAATTTTCAACCGAAGTCTATCACCCTCCCTCTGGTTAACATTGCATTCATTTGATTACATTGGCTGAGCAGACGCTCTTACCCAGAGCGACTTACATAATTTAAAATGTTTATTCATTATCCATATATGCAACTGGATATTTACTGAGTGAAATCTTGCCCAAGGGTACAACAGCAATGCCTTACCAGGGAAATGAAATGGCAGCCTTTGGGTTAAAATAAAACCCCCTCATCTCTACACCATACTGCTGCCCATGTTTTTGATTCAGCTGAGACAGGTCAATATACTGAAGATAATATATTTGACCAGGGTATATTATAAGGAGTTTGGCCATGACATATTTCATTTTTAAACTGCTGAAGTCATCTGGCTTAGGAGAAAGCAGGAAGGCTGGCTAGAAGCTGGCAGTGGAAGAACTGATGAACGTAACTGGCTGAGGAAGAGGTTGAAGTAGGATTCTGACTCAGGAGTGGATGAAGAAAGGTAAACAAAGAGATTACTGCTAAATTTCCTGTGCAGACACTGATGACTGCAGTTGGCCACCGCTGGCTTAAAAGTTTGCAGACATGGAGGAAAGTTTTCCTCCACTAAATCAGTTAAGTTAAATTTACATATGTCAAATTTAAGTAATTGAAATATGCTGATTTTATTCATATCTGATAAAGGAGGACTCCTTTTATTTTTTATAATTCTATATATTTCACTAAAGGGGAAAATTAAAATGAATATGTGCTTATTAAAATATGGAATTCAGCATTGTTGGCATTACTGATTTATTCCCTGTTAATCTCCTTTCACAATTTCATATACAGTGTTCCATGGTTGTTCCAGACACTGAGAGCTGGAATGGCAGCCCTCTGCTTCCAGAACATACTATTTATTTATAGAAATGTGGACATTATTGTCATGTTACTGCTGCGCACCCCTAACAAAAATGACAGACATAAAAAACTAAGGCAAGTACATTAACTCCAAGACAGTGCAGGAAAGTGATGGGTCTTGGTTTTTGGCCATCTTAAGAAAGGTTCAAACCAAATATCTGGCTGCATCTTTTGGCCCAGGGGGGAATCTGCAGATGAAAGCAGAAGCTTAGGGGATAGCCCTTGGACATCGGAAAGGGACAAAGACAGAGCACCGCTGGGTGAATGTGGATGAGGCCTAATGACAGTGGGGAGTAAGATCCAACCTGACGGCGCAGTCAATTCTGGTGGTGCTTGCTTACCTAAGTATAATAGGATTTCTTCGCGCCACACTGTTAAAGCCTCTGATCCATCTTCATTAAGATGTTTCAAAGGTGCTGACATGCTGGGGTTGTGGGCTGCTGCAAATGACGTAGCAGAAAAACGAGTTTGTGGAGGATGTTGGAAAAATTGTGGGTAATGAGGAAGTGTTCTAATATCGGTAGGAGGTGGGGTAGGGTGTTGGGGGGGGCACTTGGCATTGGATGTGTAAGGAACAAAAGATCAAGGTCACAGCTGTTTGGATCTGAACAACATGTACAATATAAGTCTGTGGATCAGGTGACTAGGAAGCAGAGTACAGGCAAGCAGTCTGAGGCCACTGTTGGCCTGACCAAGAAGGCATGAGGAACACAGCTAATAGATACAGTATTCATAAGCAAATGCATGCATTGTTTTGGCCATGACAGTAGGGGTCAAGGCCTTTGACTTGACGGTGCAGAAACCGGTCCTGGAGCAACGGAGAAGTGTTTGCACGCTTGTAGAGGGACATTATTGGCATATTCAGGACCATCGTCAGAGAGCAAGGCTGTTTACCAGATACCCTTATGTGGCTTACGTTTCATATATTATTCATTCACACAGCTGGAGAGTTTATTGCTATTCAGATTGGGTACTTTGCTGGGGGGTACGGCTTCACCCAGAATTCAGATCTGCCACCTTCTGCTAGAAAATTATCTTCCCTAATTGCTGCACCCTTTTGCTGCCCCACACTGCAGTGGGTGTATGGTATCGAGTGTGGGTATCTTTTAAATGGCAAAGGGTCCAGTGGCAAGATGTGGGGAACCTTCTGCAATGATGTGAGTTACTTCAAAGAAGCCGCCATACTTCTTTGAAGTAGCTGCTGAGGCTGAAAGGAGCGTAGTACCAGACAGTGGGGGGGTGGCGGGGG